ATTATAGCGTTATGCCTAATATTTTAACTTGATTTAGATATAATTATTATACTATTTATGAACACCGACTGTGGTCTAATTACGTGTGATCTATATAGATCTACACGCTACGTTACAAGCTTTTAAATTATAATTAATAGTAGGGCTAGAGTTCTTCGGTAAATTCTCATTTAAATAATCTTATTAAATAATTAGTATTTATTATCCTGGCTTACAATTGTTACACTACTTAAAATAGTTGTAAAAACCGTGAATAACGATGCAATTTGTACAGGAGCACTATATATTGCATTATATGTACTGTACAGTCTAAAAGTTCTGAGGTGGAAACTATGAATGAGTAAAGACTTCCTAGGAAAAAAAAAGAAGCCTATCATTTCTGTAAATAAAAGTAATAGTCCAAAATAAAGCCTTAAAAAATAAACCTATTTCAGATTTATTTTTATATTCATTTTTTATATATTTTTTTTCAATTCTAGAATTGTAGTACCTACCTATTATAGTGTAGCTTAATAATTGAAATAATATTCAAGTATCATGTCATTGTGATCATTGATTTTAAATAGGGCATATAACAATAATAATAATAATATTAATATCCATATACTAAATGGAAACATTGATTGTGAATATGTAACTGTTGGAATATAATAACTTATAACAATTATTCCATATGTACAAATGTCGAGTGTACTTCCCGGAAAGAGTGCATTCAAACTTCAAATTTTAAAATTCACGTCTCATATTTGTTTTCATTAGAACAAGCAAATATAACAATTATTAAATTCATACAATTTTATCTCACTAATTGAGTACTGATTGAGTGGTATTTTTTTCATTTCACACAAACATAATATTATACTCGAGATAATAATTTTATTGATAGTAATGAGATTGGAAATCTGAATATTTTTTAAATCAAGTTTAAAGAGAAGATAACCCGAAATTTGAAAAAATTGAGAAATTTATCTCAAATAAACTCCAATACTAATTTAAATATATTTTAAGATTTATTATTCTAATACCAGTATAATCCGTACGCTAGGCATTTGAGGGATTATTTTCGTTGAAAAAAACGGTCGGTAACGAAACTCATAAATAACTTTTTTTCCTACCTTAGGGTATCCAATGCAGACGATAGTTTTGGTGGTTCTATAAAATGAGTTTTATCAACTCGATCAAAATATCTGACAATTTTTTACTTAGCCTATAAGTTTTGATGAACTATCGGTTAAATAGTATTAAAAAAGGACTTAGCATCAAAAGGCTGACTAATATTTAATGCTGCACGCTCAATAGTAAATTCTGTTTGTGTCCACCGTCGTTGAAATAGCGTCTCCATAGAAGAATATTTTATTATTCTATACATTATTTCGAGAATACCGGAGAACAGGAATCTAAATTTGTCAAATGCAAAATAGCCTAAAATATTGACTTAACTTAGGCTTTCAATCACTTATTAATTTTATTAATTTGCGTACATTTTGACTCTTATTCTTACCATGATACAAAATTTAAATGATCCTGTGAGATTATTTATTATTATTTATATTTTTAAGAAAATATTTCTGCAGAGCACTGCAGTAAGTAAAAAAATAGAGGTCTATTAAAAGTATGAATAAAAAAGTGTGTTACTATACTATGGTCTTATACTTACTGGAAATCAATTAAATTGTTAAATATTTCATACGATCATAAGAAAAATGTATTTTTTCTAAATATAATGCAATACCTAATAATGTCTACCTATAAAATTGTATTTACGATACGTCATTTAATAAAAATGTTTATCCTTATAATCTATACAGGGTGATTCGTCAAGCATGCCCGCCCCCATTTTTTTCTTTTAATAATGAATTTATTCAAATTCTGGTTTTTGGAATTTTTAAATATAATTAAAGATAATATTTTCAAATTTTTTAATTTTCGTACTACTCCTTTTTAAGGAATGACCTCTGGTGATACAAACTTCTATTTTTCAAATAAGAGCCCCCTCTTCTACTGTAAATTAATTAGTGGATATTTTTTTTGAACATTTTGTTGTACCACATTCTACATTTGAATGAGTAGTTTCTTAGTTATTAATATGTTTGTATTAAGGATAATAGTCCTTAAAACTGGTTTTACATCAATATAAAATATACGTAGAAATTTTATCTAGTATATATTATTAGACATTTTTACAAATTATTTATATCAATAGATTAATATTAATGACTACAATTTTCAAATCACCATAGCCGCCCCCCATATCTTATAAATTCATAACTATATGGACCTTTATCCTTAGAACTCAATGTTAAATATCTCAAAAACTAATCGTATGAAATTTGATTTTGGTATATCAAAAATGCCAGAAAAATTGTCTACTGTACAATATTTATTATTAAATAGGAATGTTCTCATTTTCAAAACAGAAGTTTGTATCTCCACTCCTTATGTAGTGCAAAAAATCTCAACAATTAAAAAATATGGTTTTAAAGTATATTTAAAAATTTTAAAAATCAGATTTTGAAGAACTGCATTATCAAAGAAAAAAAGTCGGTGAGCGTGCTTGGTGAATCACCCTGTGTATGCATATTTATGTACATTTATTTATATGCCAATCAGTTAAAGAGTAAGGACCTATCTGTTAAAACGAAGTATTACATACTAATGAAAAACGAATTATAATATTCTGTATATTTTCAAACAATAATATTGTAAAATATTAAATTATGTCTACACATAGTTAGATTTTATTGTAAAAAAACAATTTATTTAAAAAATCAATAATCAGTATAATATACCAAAGTACCTTTCTTTTCACCAATCACTCAGTCATGTTGCATGAAAAAAGTGGAAAAGTTCTGTTTAAAAATCGTAGATATTGAACTACTACTATTGGTTCTTTAAATGTCTATGTTTTCACAACACGAAATCATGGGAAATTGTACTATGGTAACTCTATTTTAAATTTCCAAGCTTTTTTACTCACAAACAAAAATTCTATCTCACACAAATCGTTTTTTCAGAGAAATAATTCGCGTTTTTCTCTAAATTAAATAATATTTGATCACGACAATTCAATTACGATTGAATCACCACAAAAATATAAAGAGGGAAAGTGAAAATTATTTTTAATTAACACGTTCAGCTCAGTTCTTTATGTATTTTGGGAACAATTTCTTAAAAAACAGTACACAGTTATTGCTGTTGTAATTTTACGATATTAAAATTATACATGTCTTCATGTCAATCGGTGCTTAAATGAATAATAGATTTCTTATTAGAAGTGTGTATACAAATTTTCATTCATCTAATTGATACGCCTACATTATAATATATAATACACTCATACAAATACATATTGCAATTTGTATGAAACAGTCATTAAATTGAAACATTATTTGTAAAATTCTGGTTTTGTAATTGTTGTAAATATTATACCATAATTTAATGTTAGTGAAAACAAAAAACAATTAAATAAATACAAGAATAATTATTATCATTAGTATTGAAATTTTGCATATTATATATCCACCAAATAAATAATTTAAATTCGCTTTTTTGTGGTATACTCATATAGGTGCCACATTTATAAGTGTTTGTAAATGTCAAGGAATGTCACAATTGAATTAATATTATAAGAACAAATACATTTTTTAATATTTTCATCAATGACTGACATTGTTTTCCGTGTTGAATTTGTGCGCTCGTCTTTATTTATGTTGGAATATAACAAAATTGAATAGGTACGGTTTTTTAAATAACACAGTGTAGATATTTAATTAATGTCTGAATAATAGAACACTGTCTTAAGCAAGTAATCATTTTTGGCGACCTATAATATTTCAGTCAGCATTTTATAAATTGTAGATTCTAAACGGAGTGATGAGTGTATCGATTATACAATTACAGATTTAACGTTGGTGCAGGTAACTGAACACGAACTCATAGTCGTGAATTATAAAAGATTCTTTTTTCACGTACAATTTGGAGCTAATCATTTTTTCCACTTTAAATCTTAGAAACAAATCACTTCACCAACACTGCATGACGCATGCGCCGAGAAATGTATTGCACTGCAAAAAAAAACATTGTATTAATCTGCAGCTCGATCGTAATGTGTGATAAATCTATCGAATAAGATATCTGGCACATAAAATCATTTAATGTTATTTACAGGGCTCTGAATTTTTTTTTTGGACGACAACACCGTGGAGCGAATCACATTTTATCTAGCACATAATTTATCCATATAATTTAAGCGTATCAGACATTTTTTTCCTTGTAGAATTTAAACTGATTTTTTTTTTGATAAATTGGTTGTGATAAACCACCAGTTGTTTATTATTTTTTTTTTTTTGTGAACATTGATTTGAATTTTATTTTCGAAAATATTTTTTCGATTGTTGTTTTAAATTATCTATGTATACGTAAACCTACATAATATATAGCAGTCAACTAACCAACATTTTTAATTTCAATTAAAAGTAATAGATATGCACATACCTACTGGTTTTGATGATTATCTTTAAACGCAGAAAAATATAGGCACATGTATTTAAGTACATTGTATAAATGATAAAATTGCATAAAAGAATAGTAATACATCATGAAAAAAAGATAATCTTGACAGATATTCATTTGAAATATTTTCATTCAGTAATATTTTCTAATTTTATTTAAAAAAAAAAAAAAAAACCAATGTTGTACATGTCTGCATTTTTACGGTGCATATTTTATCTAGAGCTCTAGAGCATGTATACACCATTTCGTTCTGCTTATGTTTATGCAATGCATATAAGTGCGTGCATATTTAACAGCTTTTTAGTGCACTAACTTCGCAGCCTCTGCAGCAGATTATTAATGTAATCCTACTCTCCGGACATAAGTGCAGCAGTCGTGAGTTACTGAGTTATTTCGCACTGGCCGCGGCGTTTACTCAATACGAACACGACGATATAAAGTCGATAACGACGATGATAATTAATAATAATTATTTAAACTGTTCACAGGCCGGCTGTGGGTTTTCGACGGACTACTCGGGCGTGTGCGTTGTCACTTGTATTATATATACGTAGCCGGCAAAAACAAAAATCGTTATGGATTCGCCTCCACGTACGTACAACCGTAACTGACCTGCGAATCCCGTTTCATTTTATACTTTTTTTGCACACCCGATTTAATTACACCGACTCACTATAGTGTCCTACAATCAGTAGCCCATATGGATCACGATGCCTGTAGTTATAATAACAGCTTGTGATTTTGTACTAGGTAAACATTTTTTTCCACTTCCGGAAATTCTCGTTCACTTAAATCACGTATGTATCATATTTTTATGTCTATATAGATTCAAAATATCTATTATTACCAATCAAAGAGCATATAATATCCACATAATGTCGACCGGACAGCTTAATGTTTAAACCCCAAAATGGGTTTTAAAATAATATATTATACTAGGTAATAGGTAGTATGTTCCTACTTATATTGTATATTTTTGAAATAAACGATAATTCATCAGTTAAGCTCTGTTTGAAATTTTTTTCAATACCACCAGACCCATAAATCTGCCGCCCGGGTAACCATTCGGACTAAGCACTTTTCGGACTCACCCCCCCCCCCCTCAAATTCGGCCCTGTATACTCGCATATCGTGAATACGACCACAATTATTTTTTTAAATATACGCAGCTAAACGAACGAAATTCCAGCAATTTATACGTAATGTAGCTAGGTATATACTTTATGGTATACGCAGTAGAAAACATATTATACCGACGACCGAGACGATTTCGCGGGCGAGTTGACCTTTTTCTCGACGCACAAGCGCATTCGGAAAATACGAGTGACTACGGCCGGAGGGTGAGCGGGCGACGTTCCCGACAATATTCGTTTTGACGAAAATACTTTTTTCTAAAATCCATTTCGTTCGGCCGTAAAAATACGACAATGCGGATTCGAGAGTTGGCTTCCGCCGGTGATTGATTAAGAAATAATCGTCAATCGTAAAATACATATAATATTCACGTTTACAGGTAGGTAACCTATATAATATAATATACACACTCGTTTTGGTCCAAGGTGCAAAAAATGTTTAACTTTCATCGTCGCTCGCAAACAGTATCATTTATGACGTATTTTGCATAATAAATTATTAATCTTATGAAATATATTAATCATTCAGATTACCTGCAAATCTTTGAAAACGGAGTCTTTACGATACACAATATAGTATCAACCAGTCAAATCAAATCAAATTTCTAGGGAAATGAACTATTGTACAATCAAACAGAAGGTTATTTTAAAAAAATGAAAAAACAAATTCATGGTAATTTTTTTAATTTTAAATAAAAAAGTTTCTAAAACAACTTGAAATAACCGACGAATATAGAAATAAATCAGTATATAAATATTGGATATCTGTTTTTCATTAAGTTTTCAAATTTCTAGAAATACCCATATATTTTTCGATATTTAGTTTTAATAGTTACTTCTTATTAGGCACTGTAAGACTAAAATTTGTACAGGTAGGTACATCGATGTGTTTTCTATTTTCAGCGTCTGTTTACAATCTTGGTTAATGTTCTCACAAACCACCTAAAAATTATTTATTATTTATTTTGCGTATTTTAAGTATGACTAACAACATTGTTTAGCCTACATAAAATATAATTCAATTCAATATGTTTTAAAACGACGAGGCACAGATGCTTGTTTTCCGCTTAACGTTTGGAATTCATTGCAGTGACATTATAATATTATGTTTGTATTGCATATTTTAACAAAATGAAACGCATATTTTACCATTTCATATAAATCCTATGAGGATATAGCACCATCATAGCTAATGAGAATTTGTCTCTGCGCATAGTGTTTGTTCTCACACTGCAGCGTGCACGTGTCTGGGTACATACCTATAACCTATATATAATATTCCGTCTACCTGTTTATGCAATTTTTGAACAAATACTGCGAACACGCACCCTGTATAATAATTAAGCATGATGCACATTGTTTTGTTTAAATTGGGTAACAGTTGTGTCCAATGGTAATTTATGTTCACCGACAAACATGTCATGATCCCTTGCAATGAACTCTTAATCAGATTATATATGGTTCGTAAATTTCGCAAATACGTTACACGACGAGCGTGTATGTATGAATGCACTGCTAACCACTGTATACAGGTAAATCCTCTAAGGACACTGCAGTAGGACCTGGAAACGGTCCTTTTAAAGGGATCAATGTTCGTTAATATATACATAACGCTCTCTCTCTCTCACACACACACACACACACACACACACACACACACGCACACACACACACACACACACAGCTGATATTATATAGGTAGGTGTATTATGTGTAGCACGAAAAATACTGTACACCCATACACGCCTGCTGCAAGCGTGCACAAAAAATAACGTCAGCTGCATTACACAACCTTGGAAAAAATACATAAATTTCAAAATTCTTATTTATAGTGAAACCTTACCGCTATAAATCGCCTATTTTATTATGATTCGTAAATGGCAAATGCATAAGACTGTTCTTCAATTGATACATATTATTATATTGTGTTGTTTGAAACGCCATATGTATTGTAACATATACCTACACTATTACACACAGACCTATTATAAAACTGTTGAGTCAATATTTTATTTTTTAAATCTTGATAATATAAATACCTATCTGGGTGGTTGTTTGAATTGAATACTTCTGTAGCTTTACACGACAATAAATATTAAACATATTTTAATAATATGATATTTATCGTGGAAAACAACTGTTCGATAAAAAAATTTACTCGTTATTAACGTACCTATCTATCACGTAATTACATGATAGTAAATAAAATACATAGTTTATCAATTATTATAATCCAATCTTACAATAGTGACGTTACGACTATTTTTTTAAAAATTCTTTAAGAACTTTTTTTTTTTTTTGACAACATAAGTACAGGTTAATTTTTGTATAAATTGTGTATATGTTATTTTTAATTGAAAAATAAGTAATGACAATAATGCAATTAAAGTACAAAAAAACCTTTTAATGTCAATAATACATTTTAAATTTTAATATTGTATTATACATAAACGACCTATTAAGAAGTAATAAGAACAATATTCTGTAACTTAAATATTAAATATTAAATTATAAACGCCGTAGTGACATATAAGTTTAATTAATGAAACATTATTGAAAACAAATTATGAAAGCAATCATTTCATTACAATATTATAATTTCATTAGAAAACGAAGTTCTTTATGACTATCATCAATTCAACATAGCTCTTACACTTTATTTAAATAAGTATAAAACATAAAAATATAAATTGAACATTATTATTATTTGTGTAAGACTTCAATCAATAAATATTATTCATATTTGATCTTATTTGTAAGACATCTCATTCTAAAAGTATCTGTCTGATATTTTTAATCAATTAAATTTAATTCCTAACAAATAAAGTTGAAGTTAAAATTTTTAAACTTAAAAGCTTTAAAATTGTTGAGTCTTAAAATGTTAAAAAATACTTAAATTATAAAAGTACAATTTTTGAAAAAAATAATTTTCAAATGTAATCTTGAAAAATACAAATTTAAATACATAATATTAATTATTTTATAAGCGTATTAAATAAATTAAAAATGTAATAATAATAATCTAAAATAATAACGTATTAACTTAAAATAAACATATTATAAATTATCATCAAACAAAATGAAAAGGATTATGAAATTTCTTTAAAAAAAAAAAAAATGAAAACATTTATTGCAAATTTAAGTACCAAGTTGAACATTTAACACCGATCGCATGCAGGAATTCTTGAAAATGTATAAATCTTTAACAAGGGAAAAGAATTATGGGTCATGTTTTCGCTAATATATTGATGCATAATAATGATTACCACATTAAATATAATGTATATATAAGATCCATTTTGGATTGCTACAAAGGCTTACAATCTGATTGAAATGGAAATTAGTGGTTGTAACTAATTAATTATGGTTAGCTTATCCCCTTATAATATAATAATTGTTACGTTGGGTGAGATGTATTTTGAGAAAGACTTAAAATCTACAAGTGGGTCACCTAAAGACGCATAATTCTGAAATTTTCAAGTATAAACCATTATACTATTATGATTACATATATACAATTTTTTAAAATATAATAAATATATATACGACACATTTATTTTAGTTGCATAGACAATGAGTAATAATAAATATATTTTTTATAAATATAATACCAGACAAACCCTCTCCCCACCCAATAAACTTTCAGTTCTTATACACAAAATTTAAATAGTGGGGGTGCCAGGGAAATGAACCTTATTTTTCTTCTCAATAGTGATTTTAAAACATGACATTTTAAGTTTCATCATTACGTATAGTGCAGATAGGTAGCTCATTTATCATGCATATAATATGTATACATTATACCAGATACCAGCGGTTCTCAACCGGTATTCCGCGGAAAGCTCATGAATGGTACGTGACTTTGAGAAAAAAATTATAATTATTATTAACGCACCTGTTTTAATTAAATACTTTCTAGTGATATGTGCAAATCTTAAATATGTGTAGGTGCCAGGAGGCACATATTATAATACCTGTATAAAAAGGCTAAGAACAGCTGCACTATACAATATATTACATAAATAGTTTAATAATATTATACGTTATTCATTATATTGGTTCCACAGTCAGACGTTGAATTGATTTTTGTAATGTTTAAAAATTAACTTGATAAATAAATTGGTACTAATTTTTTTTTATTTCCCATGAAAAATCAAACTAAATACTATACATTATTATGTATAATGGATACAAAAATAATCAATTTTATCAATGTAAAAAATAATTAACAAGAAATTTTAATTCGTTACAAGCAATGAATAATATCCATGCATGTTATCATTAGACAACAGTGAAACTCGTGTAGTTAATGATCATTGTATAAACATTTTGTTCTCATACATAAAAACTCCCACAGCCCCTGAATTGTTTCAAAACTTTGCCCTTATCTAAATATTTAATGCGTAGGAGACGCCATTATTGGAACTAATAAGATAATTGACATTTTCCGTGAGAACGTCGGTGATATTTAATTATTGATGAAAATATAAAACCAAAATAACTCGATACAAATATTTCAATTTACATTATATATCTAAATTAGTATTTAAAATGCTGTTTGAATACAAACGTTTTAGTCGCGACATACAACATACTCGTATGTATTATTATTATCAAGTAGATAAAAATATAATGCAATAATTTAAGTAGTTGAATACTTAAATATTTTATATTGATAAAAATATGGTTTTTATAATGAACATTTTTTTTTTTAAACGCTTAAAAAATTATTCCTCATTATTATAATATCAGTCATACCAATATTCGGTTATTGCGGCTACAGACAAATAATACATCATGCACCCGTGCACTAATATGGTGACTATAATATTATCAACTAATTATGTTTACAAGTTTTACCGACTAACAACTAAAAAATATTCTTCGAGTATTTTACACGCGAATAAAAAAAATAATGCACATAAAATAGTACTTGCATATTATAATAAATACAAAATATACGCTTACATAAATCGTAAAATATTCAAGTTAGTTATTATAGTTGTTGACGACGTACTGATAAGACGGCTGGTATGACGTTTGATGTACCGAAAAATGTTGCTTGGCCGTATTCGGTTGCATTTCGTGATACCTGGCATGATAATAATACTGTTCTCCGGGGTCAACACAACTGTTCGACGTGGATGGGTATTGGTTACTCATCGTCAGGTACTGATCCAGTTCCGAACTGTCCACCATGTCGGCTCCGATGGCCTCCACCGCCGGTAGATCGTCCATACGACCAAAATCTAGACTGTAATCTATCGCAGATTCGCCCGATTCACCACCTTGAATAGCAATAATCAAATAAAATCGTCTTGAAATTTAATGCAAGATCCTTAATGAGTTGTCTCTGTTACCTATATATATATAATTTAAAAATGTCATACTTTTGCACAGTTAATTTCATTTGTATAGACATATTATCGAGTTAACGTTTTAACGAAATTGAATATTCACAAAAAGTAACGGCTTTAGTTTAGATTTTATTAGAATTCAAAAAAAGTAATTAATCGTCGAATTTTAAACTTTTCGCCATTCCGAATACATTAATATATTTACTGCACACGATGACATTTTCAAAATATTTAAGCTATTTTGAAACTATTTATACACACCGTGTTGCGGCACGGCACTCGGTATTGATTTATAAGTTAATAACAATAAATTTTAATTAATAAATTATAAAATATCCTTAAAGGACATTGCGCCGTTTCGACTCTGAATGGTTTTTCATATAGTTTGCAAACGATTTATCATCGAATTATAATTCAATATACACATATTATATTAAATTGCAGCGCAGTGACCTTATTCAGTGGTATAATTGATGGTACAACTCGAGGCGCACTCGAATCGTATATACAGCTACGGGGCAACTTTCCGGGTGTTTTAAGTTAAAATAGGTGGGTGATGTGCCGAAGTAATGCTTACCGTAACAAATAGTGTGCGTAGTGTTGCAATAACCGTTTTTGGGTTTGGCTGGGTAATAGTTTGGAGTAGTAGGAGGAGTCAGTGGTTCTGGTGCTGAACCGGATGGACTACTACTACTGGTCGATGATGAGCTGGCAGGAATCATTTCTTGTTTAATTGGACGACTACTAGCGGTGCTATTAAAAAAAATAAGTAACAATAATAATAAACATAAATATTATTAACTTTTATCAAGAACAGCATATACAACAAAACGATTACTCCCGAAAATTTGTATTAATCAAATCTGAATCTATATTAAGCCTAATCAAAACGTATGCTTATATAGTTAAAATATACTATGCATAATTGAGTAAGAAATACAAAATGTAAATGTTTTGGTTCGTTCGTACAGGTTTTTTATGACCAACTTAACAGCAGCGCCTACAATAAATCTACTTATTTTTTTATTCATGCTGCATAATAAATTCAAAAATGTATTTATATGCATATAAATGTTTAATATTACACTTGTATCTATCTGAAAACGTTTTAAACGCAACGCAGGAATAAAAGTTAATTTTAACTAGTCTTTGAATATTATGAGATCGCCATATAAAATCTGATAAAAATGCAGATATAAGTTGTATCGATGTGTAATACGTGCAAATAAAAAAAACATTACGAAACTGTGCCCAAATCGTTTGATATAATATCACAACAGGCTACAACTACAACTGTCTATAATCTATTACATGCAATTCAAAAATGCACAAAATATGAAATATTATGTACATTTATATAAATAAATTATTCACAATGTACACAGGAAGCTTTGAATAAACGATATACAATTATTATTATTGTTATTACCTGTTACAATTCATTGACATGTCGTGCTTTAAGTGCCGTTGATACTGAGGATCGTTTGTTTCAGATTTATCATGTTTTGATTTGTCCTGTATTTTTGGTATGCCCTTAGCCGCATTGCGCCGACGTGGTTGATATTTATAATCGGGATATCTGTTCTTGTGGAGCACTCGCAGTTTTTCAGCCTCTTCTATAAACGGCTGTTTATCGTCTCCACTCAAAAGTCTAAAGAAAAACATGTTTAAAAAGTATATTATAGTCACTGTGTAATATAATATAGTTGGACACATAATAATCCATCTAATATGATATACGATCGTGGGTTAACATATTTTGTGTATCCAAACACGTTTTAAAATATTTACGTCCAATAAACTAAACCAAACTGAACATAATGTACATCGTTAGCCGTCACAGAAGATTAGATGGTTAGCTCATAGAAACTCATACATTTATAATGTGTTTGCTATTTACGTTCTGTATAATATGAACAAAACAATAAACGTGCTAACCGTTATTACCGCACTTTAGGCCTTGGAAATTATAGATTTAATGTACCTAATTTACTGCGGCATGAGCGTAATACGACCCACCTCCGGATTATGACAATTTTTGTTTTTTGGTACAGATCATTTCATTCTCACTACAAAACTATACATTATTGCTCTACAATATGGTTTTTGATGAACACCTTAAAAGTATAAAAACGCGTAAGAAAATCACAAATATTGTATAACACCATCATATAATATAGAATACCGGAACTATTCGTTTTATTTTTATTGTTTTATCCTTGTGTTTTGGGCACCTGTTGTCAACCAGCCAAGGGATGAAAAATGTATTCCTCATGTTTTTTTAATATTTGACGTACCCAAAGGGTTAACGTGCTTGGGGTTGAAAATAAACGGACAATTAAACGTACGTCCGAATTGTCCCAGATGCTCGTGTGCTGGCATATCCGTCCCCAGACACTCCCTGTATTATGTCATATTACCATTTCTGAGAGAGACTAATTAAACGCGGGAGTGTCTCTCTGCGGAGTATGACCTTTCCCATTTTAATATTAATATTTTACGCTCCACTACAGTGTAGAGAAGTTAAAAAAAAAACAAAAACAAAAACAAATTGAAGACCGGAGATATTATTATCATGACGAAAAGTTATAATACGCATTATATCAAAGGTGAATTTATTTCTTTAAACAGTGGTGATATACGTATATAGTTGTTCGCGCGCGTTGACCATTATTATTGTACACGTTCTGAGTTCTGGTGTACACAATATACCTGTACAGGTACCTCTACAGCCTCTACGGCCATTTTTACATAATAATATGTGAATTATTCATCATAATAAAAAACCTCTGAAAAGTATTTACGGTGAAATTGAAAAATAAAAAGTTATAAAAAAATTCGTACACTTAAATAAAACAGCTGAACTGAATTTAGTGCGAAAACTTTAATCTCATAAATATATACGATTTTTTTCGTAAACCTATGGGAACAGAATTTTGACACCCGCATATTATATTATCATCCATTTATTTTACTTCTACCAACATGATGTTGTTATTTATAAACAAGTAACAACCCATCGTAAGTAATTTCGAATCCCATATGTATGGGTACCATGTTATATTATTGCATTTGTAATTGACACTAAATGTTTAAAATTATATTATCATTGGAAAAGTTCAGAAAAATAATGCATAGTATATAGTAAGACGTAATCTTTGACGTTTTAATTTAAGAAAAATGTACTATGTTTTATAATTTTTAAAAGTCACTTTATTATATTTGTCCGTTATAATATGTTTACAAAGGGTCGAAGTGGTTAGTGGTATTACTATAGAGTTAATTATATACTTATTATTTTAACAAAGTTTTTTTTATATTAAAAAAAACTTCTACAACCAATTGAAACCCATAAACTTAAAATGTTAACGAAAATAATTATAATATTATACTTATGTAATGTATACTTATCATATTATACATAATATATAAATTTACTATTTGATTTTATTCTATATTTTACGTTAAGTGACTAGATAGTAAGATAATTAAATATGTAATAAAATCCATTTCAAAAGTGAAATTATTGAATTGAAATATGTTAATTCATCAAACAATTTAATTATAAATGCCATACGAATATAGAATATTATGTCATAGCAATATAACTATTTTTCGGTGAAGTAATGAAGTTTAGATGTATAAAATAACATCAAAAATAGTTAAGATTATATAAATAATAAATGCCTAATTTAAAAATAAATATTTTACATAAAAAATAGCAGAATCTCATAAAATAAATTGCTTACACAATACAAATATTAACTATAATTTTTTTTTGCTTGATCAATAATATGGTGTAAGTATTATAACTATATATAGATTTAGTATGTATATGATACAATATCCATGCTGTATTATTCAGCTACAAAATGAGGACGAAATGTATTGAAGTATATTTTATTCGTTATATTTAAATCTTTACTTGCATTTTATCGGTTAAAAGAATAAAAAATCACTTTTAACACTTAGTAGTGCACACTAACACAAATATTATTCGTCAGCACTTTAATATGTAAAACGTGTTTACCATCATTTTAAACTGAACTCAGATCTAATCGTTGATTTTACTTTTTAACTTCTCTTTGAATTAATGCCGCCCAAACAAAAAAAAGTTATAATACTTCAAAATTCAAATAGTAATAATAGATGATACATTATATATAAATATAAAACAAATCATTGTAAGAATTTTGTACCCTGATGTGAGTAAATATATTATGTGGGCAAATTTTTTATGTTTATTACTATTAATCTTGGTTAGGCTTAGGCACAAACATAATATTACGAAGTACACCATAAATGAGTAACGATGGTTGGTTGGCTTTCATTTTTATTGCTGGGCTGTATGTAAGCTTCTTTATTTCAATTAGCTTTGTTTAAACAAACTATAAAAACACATAGGTATGAACACCAGTAATATAAAAATATATGTTACCATTTAGGTACCTATATATAGTTATAATTTCTATACAACATGCCTAATAATATACATATAGTAATATTTTTTGAAAGTGGCCATATACAGGATGTAACAGAAAGAACTGGCTAATGCAATAACTTTTGTTGTAATCAATATTTTTTTTTTATATATACATATATAATTTATACTCACTTGCGTTACAGACATAATATAAAAAAAAATATTTTTATTTTTCAATACTGAATATAAAAATTTAAAATCGAACTACATTTTTTGGGGGGTAAGTTCAAAATAGCTAATATGCGAATCTAATTATAAGAACAATTTTGATGGTAAACACATTTATCTAATTCGAGTAGTTTATTTTTAGAATTTTTTTTAAATATCTATATTTTTTTGATTTAATTCATTTGGAACGTAACAACTTTTTTCAAAATAAAATTTTAGGAAATTAGTTGACATAAGTATATTTCTTAAATTATTTAGTACTCATATAATATTTAAAAAATTTGTCCTACGTTAAGGTAGCATCATTATTTTTTTTTTGGTCAGGTCAGTCTGTTACACCTTGTATATATTAATAAATATTCGAGCTTTCTTCAATTTATGTACATTTTTATATATATTATGTTTGAAAAAAATGTTGCTATAGAATATTGAGTGATACCTACGTTATTAAAGTATGTCGAGTGAGATGACATAACCACGTTTTCAATATAATTCGATGGTAAAATAAAAATAAACATGTTTTATTTCAGGTACATGCTATAAATAATAATAAATTGATTACTATTATTACTTAATCAATTATCCCCAAACGTAAATTTATTCACCATAAGTATATTATGTAACTGACAAACATATAATATCTAGTAATGGACATTTGTGTTTAGTATCCGCATGTATCTGTATAATTTGAATTCATGGATAATTTTAAGCAGAAATTTGTGAAGATATATTAAACTCAAATAGGTGCCTACCCATATTCAAAAACAGTAATAATATTGTAACAATAGCACAGCTGAACAGGGCTTTTCGATCCCCACATATCGAACAATTTTAAATATAATAATATTAATAATAAAAAAAAAAATTAATAAATAAATATTAAATATTAATATTTAATTTAACATAATATACCGTTAATAATGTATCAAACAATGCTACGAGAATACAAATGAACTACGCTCAATATAATACACCATGATAACTAAGAAACTAATCTATGTTAATTTTATTTATTTACTTTTATTATAACGTGGACAAATATAATATATTTGCTAGGTTATAAACTTAGTTTTTCAGTTTATGTTATGGTTTTAACCACTGTAGTTTCAACTCATTCAAATTAGATGTTTCAGTTGTTCAATTTAGTTTAGAAAGTTGAATGTGTTATTTAGTAAAGAATAAAAATGATTTTTATAAGATTTTTGTTTGTTGAAACATTCAATGTATGCACTATATTCGTATAATTTGCTTACCACAATATTATGCTACATTATATCATCAAACTAAGAGTATATTTATTGGCTATTGGGCTATTTATAAATTGAATACTAAAACGCGTCATTTTATATTTTTGTGTAATAATATTTACCTCCACAGTTGTCCAAGCGTTTTACTGAGCTCGGCGTTGTGCAGCTGTGGATACTGATCGGCAAGCTTGCGACGTGCTGCTTGTGCCCAGACCATAAAGGCATTCATCGGCCTCTTTACGTGATAATTTTTCTTCTCCGTAGGTGGTCTAGAAAATACAATTTGTGTGTTATTAAGACATCCAATGATAATTTGTTGAAACAATTATAATATGTAATAATTGGTCTATATTACGTCGACTCACAAAACTATGATAATATGTTACTTAGTAAATGCATTTTTTTATTGATTTACTGACTTTGTAAATACATTTTAGTGTATATTATAGTATGGACCATGATTCAATACGAAATCGAGGATAATAAAATAGTACTTATTTCAGTTTTAGATAAATGAAAATTCGTAAAAGATTTATATATGAGATAATGTTTTATTGGACATGTAGTTTAAACACACCTAATATAATTTTTCGTAAACATAGTATACTTTTGTGTAGGTAAATAATGGTACAGGCATTATTTTATTATAATTAAAACGCTATTCTCAAATTTCAAGTTTCCTGTAAAAAATAAAAACGTTTACTATTTTTATCGACATTATAAATTTCGTATGAAAAACCTCAAATTTAGCAGCTATAACGGTTCAGTTAAATTTAAAGTGAAGACAGGCGACTGATAGTATCTTCCTTTGAGGGGTTTCGACCGAAAATACGTATTGGTAGGTGTCCAAGACTCATATGTTCTCGAAAAGATATGGCAAGACGCATAAACGTACGTAATTTGTATAAGCATTACAATAATTAAGTATACCTACGCGATGGCCACGGTTCGTAAACGAAGAAATTACGAACTGTAAAAAAAAGTGTCGTCTATAAATTACACAAAACATGCGATAAAATTAATTATAGCGACGATCGGCGAGGGCTTAATACATAATAATATTATAATTACGACCTATTGTGGTTTTATTCGTTCACGCTTCGTTATGGTTTGTTTTTTACACAATCACAATATACATGTTTCTTAAAGTACTATTATTAACACGGTGAACTTTTTTTGGTAACAAGGTAATTGGATACTAATTTAAAAAAAAAAACATACACACGAACTGCTTCTGTCTCATCCTTATTTACATGTTAATTTTTTTTTAATCATTTTGCGACTTTACTAAAGTTAGTATTTATAACGAGAAAAATTCAAATTTACTACCATATTCGATTTTTATTACGACCAATGAGCCGCTGTTACCAATTTATTTTAACCTATGGATTAGAAATATTTGTTAAAGGCAAAATATACCATAAACAACAATCTATGCATGAAACGTCATACTATTTATATAGGTACATATAAATGATATGTCGTGTATTTTTTCTAACTTTTCTTAACTTAGAAATTAATAATTAAATTATCTTAATTATTCAAATGATTTTTATCTAATATTATTCACACTTTACAGTAAACGTCAAAGCTCATATATTGGGCGTTATAGATAATGTAATATTATTGTGAATTTGTTTTAGAGTTTATCTTAATCATACGCTAAACGCACCTATATATTATAGTCATACAAGTTTAAGACATGAAGAACGGTTATGAGTTGTCACGTGTCAGTGTCGGATAGGACGAATACAAAGAATGTTGCCGAGACATCCTGCTCCTTATTTTTCAATATGAATAGGTACCTATACCTACCTCTTTTGAGGTTTTAATTTCATCCTGGTATCTGTACTAGATACTTTATGAGTAACATTACTCTTTTATAATAGAATTTCATAAATTCTTAACTTTTTACTCGTTTGCATCATGTAAAATAAACTATATGTACAATACACTCATATTTTTTGTTAGGTATAGTTAAGAAATAATGGGAAAAGTTTACGTTTCATTATTGAATTCTTGATACAATAACTTAATATAATATTCAGCTATATATACCTAAAATATAATCCTCAGTATTTTTCCTCCGAAACCACTGCTTGAATTTATTTTCTAAGAACTGTTTAGACATTGTTTTTATTAACCCCTACATGTTTTGTTTATTTAAGGAATATTTTATATCGATTCAAAAAAAAAAAAACAATTGTACATCCTTTTTGACTTAATGGCAGACACGTGTGGTTTGAATGAAAATTCACTTTCGTCCTTTTCACCGCAGGGTTATTTACGATTGACCGTGGTTTGCGTTTGATGTTTAAACAAAAATTAGCTGACTGTAGTGTTTGGAATATTGATCATCATGACATGAGACTAGGCGTCAGATAAAATTAACAAATATTTTTATAATTTTTTTTTTCGATTTAGATTTGTGTTTGGGACCCCGTAGGCGTTGGATCACAAAGACCGCTATCAGTATAGTTATGCTGATATTATTTTTTATTATAAAATACACTTCACATAGATATAAAACTAATAGCCTATCGAATTAGATTCCATCCACGTTGTGTGTCTTACTAAAGAACTTCCGGTCGTCCCTTATCTTCCGGTAGGACGGACGTAAAAAAAAAATGCCGCCAATGCCGTCGACAGAAACTGTTAACATTCCTTAATGAATTCATCTAGACTCTAGAGCATCGTATTAACTTATCAGATATTATGAGTACGCAGGTCTTCATATCGCAAATATGCATTTATTATTTATTTTCAAATGTATATCTGTATCCGTAAACGGATATCTTTGAAAAAATGTTTCGATTATATTGTAGACATTTTATTGAGGTTATAATACTATAAATATTTTTTCATAAAAATGCATCAACTGAAAAAAAATACTACTACATGTAATGTAATAATTAATCGAAAATGTATTAAACAATATTGTTAGAGTGGTTAGAGTGGTTTTATTTATTATTATGAGATGATTCATAAAATAAATTTAAATAATAATATCTTGTTGATGGTATCAAAATGTTATAATATTTTATTTTATAACAAATTAATGCAGTTAAAAGTCTATTATACCTTAAATAATTTAAAGTTAAGTAATATCACGGTTTTTTTTTATTTCTTTATTCCAAACCCATTTAAATTGTATTGTTGTATTGATAGAATATGATCAAATGTACCTACACGCCATCAATATTCATAATAAAAGTATACTAAACAATTAATCATTTCAGTTTTGTGCGAACATTGACAGAGTCGTTTAGGTAGGTTTAAATTTCAATTTAAAAACATCAGCACCAGAAAATGGGTTTCTTTATTTTAAATTTAATCGCGAAATATATAGTAGGTATGAAAAAAAAAACAATTCTGCACGAATCTCACATTAACAAAAAATGGTAGATTTTATTTTTTTTTTTAAGATGGCTCCATAGATTTATTTCACCCGACGTATTTTTTTGTTTTCGCAATTTCTTCAACAACAACTAGAAATTAAAAACAAAAACTGCTCGTGAAATACAATATATATTATAAAAAATTCTCATTGTACTACTCCTTGATTCCTCTTTTGGACCGCTTGGAGTATAAAATGTCATCGCGAGTTAAAATATGAACTTTTCGATACCTAAATCTCAGTTTATTTAGCAATAAAGTATAAATTACTTGTGCTTAAATTTAATGAAAATCTTACGTGACACTTACGATGTGCCACCAATCTATGGAGAAACTGGGATTAGGAAACCCTTTTAATCCTCGAATATCCATTAACCCAAGCAAGTACTTACCTAAGGTACTTTCTACAATGAAAATAGCAATTAATAGATTTATAATATATAATATTATTTATTATTATTATATTATACACTATACATTATATAATAGCAATGATTATTATTATTCATACACATTTAAGAATTTTAATGGATTTTTATTTATTATTACATTTATATAAGTGCAGAAAAAATGTATAAGAGTACAGCAAAAAAATCGAACTGAAGGTAATTCTTTAGTAGATATCATTTTGAAAAAATGTTGACGTAAACATATGGATAGAAGAGGAGAAAAATCGAGAACCATCTATTTAAACTACTGGGGTGGGCTAGAAGTAACACTACTTGTCGAACAGACAAGGGATGGATTTATAAGTGGTATGGATCTATTTTCGTGTCAGGTCGTTAGGGTAGTTTGACAACAACAACTTTTCTACTCACACGCTGACACTATCTCTCGCAGCTTTCAAGAAAATATATTTCCCAAGTTATCCCAGCCAATCCCGAATTATTGTTGAACATTGTACCCATTTCATAACTATCCTCCTTTCCTGTGATTAACCTCCCTTCCAATAAAACAAAATTTGCAATTAATACAAAATTAATAATTCTAGGGGTAATAACTTATATCAAAATATATTCGAACAATTGTTATTATGGTTGTTTGCTACAGAAAATTATATACTTTTAAAAATTGTGTAGCATTATCATCATTATAATTTATTTTAAAATAAAATCCTTATAAATTATTTAATCAAATTTATCAAGAGTCTTGGACCAATCAATCCCTAATTCTGATTGAAATTAAAAGTATAAGTATTAGGTTCTTGGTTCGTATAACACAGAATACAAATTACAATATATTTTAAATAAATATACAATATTATATTATTGCGATGAAGATACATTTTCATACGCGTTTTTTTTTTAATCGTGTAGACTCTTATAAGTTAACAAAATAAAACAAAATATCATAATTACGATACTCGCGATGATAACTTAGACTATTGACTGCAAAGCCAAAAAATATCAGCTGTATACGTAGGTAATGTTTAATATTTTGAATGTGCCTAGAATTTGTTGAGAAACCAAGTTAATTTTACGGTTAAAAAAATGAAAACGTACAGTCTATAAAACTGTGATACCATGGGTACTGGGTAGGTACCCACCCAAAAGAGTTCGAATAAAACGAGCTTTGTCTGAACTAATTTCAACGGCAACGGCGTTAAAGTTATGGGCAGAACGATTCACAATTTAACTACAGCCGTACAATATGCATGACGGGATAGGACGTTTTTCGTCTAAGATGGCCTCGGAATTTCGCAAGGCTGCAGACCGCGTTTTCGACCGAAGTGCGCGGTTTACAACGGCATATAATATATATGTATACGATTACGACATTATGATTTTATTATTACGATTAAATTAAAAGACGAAAAAAAAAACATACTTGGCAGGCACCGGCACTAGAGTCCAATCGTATCCACCCAAGACTTTGCTCACGGCATCATTAATCTGCTCGTTGTCTTTCAACGCATTGCTCATCGCCGCCTTCGCCGCGGCCGTTACGCTCGCCGCCGCACTGGCCGTAATAGTGACCACTGGTTTGCCGGACGGACCGGGTGATTTTACCAGTGAACAGTTCATTATTGAAATATTTGTACGACGAGAAAAAAACCGAAAAAAAAACAAAACGTATATATATATATTACAGTGTATAATGTATTTTCGAACGCGAGTTGGGCACTTGAAATCTTACGAATATAATAATATGTTGTACGAACCAACGAAATATGAAAAAATAACTAAATAATCCGTTGGGTCGATCGAACGAACACAAACAAGACGAGACCATGTACTGTTGGACGGAGATCATGTCCGCTCGTCTCGTATGGATCTTATCGTGGATCTTTACTCCCACTGCGCTAGACCAGGCGGAGCGTAACAGAACTCGAGCGGACCCCTGCCCCCCTCCCACCGCTTAATTGCACGTTGCCTTTTTACGGGGCACTTAATTTGATATATTTTTTTCAATTCCTGAAAAATCAGAGTAAAAATAACAAATTACGTATAGTAATAAAACACAATCAACAATAATCCAACAGGTGAAACAAGGGTTTCACAAATGTTTTGATATTAATACAATATAATATAGAAGAACTATGAAACTATTTTGGTTGATTTATTTTTACAACTTTTAACCGATGGCTTCCCTTATAATAACATAATAATGTAAGAAAAAAAATTAATTTCACGATGGGTTGGTATGTAAGCGCCTGGTAATATAATAGTCAGAGGAAATATTTCGGATTTCCTAATATATATATTTATATATATATATAGGTCCCCATTTAACTTTCAAAAAAATATATTTCATATAATTGTACCGCTAATATCATACATCAGCCCGCGTTTATGCAAAGCGCTCGAAGTTAACGATCATCTAAATTAACATTGTGAATATAATACATATTATATGCAAATTGTATTTTTCGTATATACCCTCTTCAGACAATGACACAGTGTTTAGGGTCGCGCATTAATTATTTTCTTTATGAGTTATACACTAAAACGTCTAAAAGTCTGCATTATTACTGTTATTAATTAAATAGTAACTAACACACAACGGTAAGTGCACATAAGGATTAAAGGACCATTCGCTTGCTGGCTTAAACGAAATTGTAAATGTTACGCTATAATATGGACACTAACAATATTATAGGTAATTTAATTTATATTTTTAACAATCAATAATCGTTACCCGGTTAATACAATTGAATACATTTCAATTGGTGTGAAAAAACACGCATAATCGTACAGTCAAGTAATAATTAAAAAAGGGTATTACTAATAAATTTAACTAAAAAATATCGAAAAGTTGCACTCTATGAACTGCAATATTCCATGTAATATAAACTATAATAAGTATCTACCTAACATGTTCGCTTCTAAATCTGTATACCTCAATAATACAGTTGGATTTAGATGGACAACAAATATAGATTCATATTGTATACACAATTATAAAAGTATAATAATTCAAATAATTTTAAAAAAGGAAAAATGTATTTAATACTAATTTAAAGTACCTACTATTGGTTGTATTTTGTTACAAGCGAGGTATTTTCATTTTTCAATGATTTTTTACCTTTTGATTACTTAAAGATAACTTATATCGAAATTCTTCAATCTAATAGTAGTACCTATATTTTTTCCAAAGATTTGAAACCTTATAGTCGATAAGTGTTTAAGCGTGTTTTAATTTCTTTCCCAGAATCCCAGTAGGTACCTATTCATTATATTGCTCAAACTCAATATTTGAAGATACAAATTACTTTTTGAATTATATCATACCATATTATTATATTTTTACTCTGAAAATCTAAAATCACTTTTAATTAACCTAACTTTCCACTGGCAGTATAAAATACAAACTGTAATTAATTCTGAAATAAGTTTTTTTATCAATTTCTTTTAAAACAATTAAAGTTACACTAAAAATTATTCTTTCATAAGCGATAAACTATGGTAGAATATTAAACTCACATTTATTATTCCAAGTTCGCAAAAAAACTCGTATTTAGTCTTTAAAATCAAAAAAAATGTCGCAATAACATTAAAGGATTGTTTTAAAACTTAAATTTATTTAATGATCGACATATCGAAATTATAATATGTTTTAATATATATTACTAATATTTATAATCGTATTAATTATTTACATTATATTATACCGATTTAGCTTTTACATAAATTAAATACAAACTTATAAGTGTTTGAGTTGTTTAAACAAAGATTTAATTTTACTATTGAGAAGTATATTTATGTTTGATTCTAGATATTATTTACATATCTATTCATAATATATAAATTAAGACGATTAGGAAAATGTAGACAAATTGTATTATTATTTAATAATTATTATTTGTTTACTTATATTTATAATGTATTATAATGATTTGAAACTAGGCACAAGGTTTTAAAATATTATCTTTGTATACATCCTAAAAGCAAAAATAATTTTAAAAATGTGTATTATTATTATTTGAAAGTTGACCTATTTATTATGTAGATAGGATTATGAAAATTTAGATGAGGTTGCTGTAAAAACTAACCCTTCGCCATACATTGGATTTGACCCAATTGCTATAAAATATTTCACAATATACGTACAGCGTACGTAAATGTTTTGTTTTTGACATAGATCTTTTACTATTTAGGTACTTATAGAATACATGCATAAGGCTTATTTACTTATGTGTTATTTTATTAAACTACATAAATTTTAACCTCGAACCAAGTTGTTATTTTCTTTTAGTAAGTTAAATTTCAATGGATTATTTTCGATCGGAGTACTATATGTTGTATAAATATTTAGGTGATAACAACAATGTCAAGAATGCTTACCATAACAAATTCAGGGACAGCGTATTTAAATTTATTTACAATATTGTGTCCATGTGCGTGTGGTAAAATAACATACAAATAAATACCATCTCACAAAATGTAAATTATTAAGTTTTTATCGTTTGTTTATTTTCCATGATATCTTATTATTATCAGATGATCCAAGGGTGATAAAACCGCATGTACCTACTTACATTTGTCATGAGTTCTAGTTTTTGATTTTGATTTCAATCGCGTTCATAATACGAGTAGGTATCTATAAAAATATTAATAGCTATTTTTCACTAAACATTTTTTAGATCACAAGTGAGTCACTATAACACTATATAATATACATCACCTACTACGCTGTACAAAATAAGAATACATTTTGAATTTTCGATCGATTCTTTAATTGAGGTAATATTGTATGTAAGTATTTACAGTAAATGTCAAGTATACGTACATTTTATACATGCATTTTAGAAAGTCGTCGGCTGTGTTTTACATAAGGAACATTACTTGCAATTTTCAATATTAGAAAAACAAAAATTAAAACAAGTAACAATAAATATTTTTTATGATGGTAAAAATTAATAATCGTGCCAAGTCTGAAATATTTCAGTAAGGTATAGCCAGCTCTAATTTTTGACGAATTACATAACACATATTATTATTAGGTATAATTGTATAAATATGTAACACAACTTTTAAATATTAAATGAACTTATCCGGTTATAATTCCCCAATTTTGAAATATCATATTTCTAAGAGATACTGATTAAGTTGTTTTTTAATTTTTACTAAATATATTTTGGTTTAAAAAAAAAGGTTGCACCAGATGTCGGAAACTTATATCAGCTGTCATCACTGAATGGATTGTTTGTTACAATATGGTCTCTGCGAGAGATATCCGGTTCGCCTCAGAATAGCGATTTATCCTCGAACATAACTCGGAAATAATATAATATTTAATTAGTTTACCTACGGAACTGCGGAAGTAATCCCGGATAAAACTATAAAAGATATTTGAAATAAAGAAAAAATTAATTTAAAGTAAAACCTTTTCCTTAGTTGAATTTCAGTGCTCTTCAATAGGTATACGTACATACTAGACGAACAAATTATTATTTTTTTTTAATGGATATTCTTTTCTATTTTTAAAATAGAATGGCCCGAGTTTTGACAATAGAGTTATTTGATTCTAAACAGAAACAATATTTTTAATTTCAGTCTATTATCTTTGCAACGACTATAATGGGTACTATTAAGTATTAATATATTATCATACTAAACGTTTAATTTAACCATCACTCAAATATTTCCAACAGGTACACAAGTCTGTAAAGAGCAAATATCCTATTATAAACGAAATAACGGAATAATAATAATAATAATAATATAGGTACCTACTACCTATCGTAAATAAATTATGGCCAATTCTTGTAGTACCTATACTGATCACTAATTAGTAGTCACTAAGCAGAAATCACTTTAGGAATATATAATGAATATTACCATACACAGAAAGTTTCAAATGTTTGCATTCCTTCCGACTATATTATAGAGGACACGTCTTATTATTGGTATATAGGAACTCGCCTTTACCGGCTTTCCATTTGAACTTTAAATTTAACTTAACAGAAATTAATATTTAAGCTTTTAAAATATTTACATAAATTAGTTCTATGAATTTTATACTTTAAAGATACACAAAACTACACTGCGGTTCGAACTAAAAACCAAATTAATAAATCAAAATAATTCCGGTACGCCTTAAATAAAATAATATTGTCCGAAATCGAATTTCAAGTATGTAAATAAACGTATAAAACTAATTATTATTGCCGGAGAAAAACTCTGAGGACACACTATTTATTAATATTATTCATACAGTTTATTTGTACCCATTTGGAAGTACGTTTAAGTGTTAAACTGTTTATTTTTATTTTTTTTGGTTTAGTTAATACATCGTATATTATAGGAACGTAGACATGTAGCTTATAGTTTACTAAACATTCGTATACAATGTTGTCGCCAGTATATATCATGTTGTATTGTTTAGTTGTGTCTTGTGTTGCATAGTCATAATATAGCATAATGACAACTCAAACGCATAAAATAAACAATTGAATTCAATTGGGCAATGTAAAGCAGACATTTTTTATTGTTTTATAAAAAATAAACTACCTTTAGTCATGCCCATCTTGTGTATGAAGCACATTGTGATTCGTCAAGGACTTATCCTCATTTTTTTTCTT